AGCAGGTCCAAGCTGTAATCTGTGGAGTATTTTGAGCTGAAACGTCACAGACACATTCTGGGGACACCAGAGACTTATATTATATATTGTAAAAAGGGGCATAATATGTCGTGAAGTGTGCGGTGTCTAAAGAATGCTGTTCCAGTCATCCTCACAAAGATTATTTTTATAAATTTTGTGACTGACGCCGGCGACTTACTGCACCTGTTTCCAAATATGTATGTTTATTAATTTAAATAACAAATAAAAAAAAACAAAAAAAACAAATAACATTTCTGAATAAAATAATTTTATACACTTTAGTTGTATAACTTTAATATAATATAGCTATTTGATGGAAATATGAGGAAATGCAGTGACTTGAATAGGCTACATTTATGTAGAATGATGAAATGAAAATTAAAATTATACAAAAAACATTTTAAATGACTTCTGTTTCGGATTTCGGACTGTTTTCATATTTACTTTCCGTTCTAACTGATACTCAGGTTTTGTATGTGGACAGGTTGTAGCTACTGTAATCTGCAGCAGTATTTGGGGATTGGGGTTATTGTGAATGATTTTGATATGTTGACAATGGGCACGTTAGTAACGGTGACAGAGGCATGGTAGTTTTACTATGTGTGTCTTCCACTGTGTTCCACGGTTTATTTTTCAATAGGATCAAAGAAAAGAGTATGACCTGAATATTGAGTCCGATTCCATCCGCTAGTTACGAGTGCCCGCTCACTTTTACCCAGGCCCTCCCAAAAATAAAATTCTGCCTACGCCACTGATTGGATCCGACAGCAATGTCACACCACACAATTATGAGTAATGTTTTTACCATGTGTCACTATTGCTTTGTCTGTTACAGACTGTTTTATATGCACTGAGCCAGGTAAATGGAACACAACATCATTGTGAACAAACCAATTTACCAGCATCACGGAACAGAACTACCTTTTTTTTATATTAATTAAAGGAGACATATTATGCCCCTTTTTACAATATGTAATATAAGTCTCTGGTGTCCCCAGAATGTGTCTGTGAAGTTTCAGCTCAAAATACTCCACAGATCATTCATTATAACATTCTGAAAATGCCTATTTTGAGGGGAAGCAGAAACACGCTGTATTTCGGGCCTGTTTCTTTAAATGCATATGAGCTGCTGCTCCCCACCCCGTTTTCCAGAATAGAGCTGCGACCTGCTAAAAACATCTGTTTTGGTTCTGATTATCATGTTTAAAGCGCTGAAATCATGCGTTTTAAACCATATTAGTTTAAACTTCTGATATAAGGTTTTCTGAGAGCACACATCCGAAGCACACGGACAGAAAGCGGCTGTCACAGCATGTGAGTACTAAACTAAGTTCTCATTCACACACAAGTTTATGTTAAAAACACACATGAGTTACAAAAAACAGTGGGTTATGTCTGTGAAGGTAAACTGCTGGGAAATAAATCGCATGTTTATTTTAGATCTGTGTGGCAGCAGCAATATACAGTAAATAAATCAGTAAATCCACTGCTCTCTTGTCTCCTCTGCGGCTGGGACTCTAAACAGTGTTCTGTGCTCGTCTGTGCAGCCAAAGATAGAACAGTTAGCATGTTTTGCTCAAACTTTCACCATGGCATTAGAGCTGGTACACCATTGTCGCTTGCGAAAACACAATAACGGCACCGTGTGTGGAAATTTACAGATTAAGGGGTGGTAATATTATAATGAGATCCCTTTGCCACGTCACCAAGGGAGCGAAATCTGACGCACTCGTTTTCTCAGACGCGTGCAGAAAAAGGCTTCCCAAAACAAAGTTACTGGGTTAACCTTTTTCACGTTTTCTTGGTTGGTAGATAAGATTTAAAATAGTAATATTTAACAGTACCTGACAGTTACTGAAACTGATCATTTTAGATCTCTTACCTTAGCCTCAAATCAGGATTCTGGAAAAAACAAAGCAAAGAAAAAAGGGTTATTCATTTGAGATCACTGTTCAACTGGTAAGTCATACATTACAGATGAGGACCTGGGTGTCATGACTGACAAAGGCATTCAAAACGCAGACTTCTATGGCTGCCTTTTCCTGCCTTCAACATTCAAAATATTGCCAGATCTGATGCATTGACAATTTCAAGAATAGGTTACCATACTCTAATGTGTTACAGTTTTCAGAATTACTTGAAAATTACAGGCAGGTATAGGTTTGTATAGGGATGGAGCTAAATATCAGTGGACGATATATTATTAGTTGATAACTGTGAAAATTGTATTATTATGCTAAAAAAGGAATGGCAATATTTTCACTGATAATTAATTGATTACTTGTGACTTTGTCTTTTCCAGGCAAAGTTCATGTCAAGCACATGTACAGCGTTTATGAATAGAACAGATATGTGTTTTTATTCAAGTTATCATGTCACATCACTCTGTGAGGATTTTTTCAACAATCACAATCATCTGTCACTGACTTAGTCATATGCTATTTTAAATATTTGTATTTATCATTTTAAAAATATTGTACAACATCCACCTTAACATTTTAACATGATGTCCCTGCATTTTAGCAAAAATTCACTATGTCTTAAGTACATTTAAGCATCTGAATAGTAGCTTTTTAAGGATGTTATCTGAATTAAGGGGATCAGAAACAATACTTACAGAGTTACTTTTGTCTCTTTTTTTATTCAATCAAATATATTGTGTTTGAGAGCAAAACTAACTATTCGTTACGTCCATTTCGTAACTATTCGTGGTTTGAAATGGACCTTAAAATAAAGTGTGACCGAAAATTCTTAGCAAGAATTTTTATTTGCACTCTTTTTTTTTCTATTTTTTAATTACAAAAAAAGAGAAAAAAAAAAGATTGCAAATAAAAATTCTTGCTAAGAATTTTCGGTCACTTTATTTTAAGGTCCATTTCAAACCATTAACTACGACTTTTGCTTCAATAAACTCCTAATTTGCAGCTTATTAATAGTTAGTAAGGTAGTTGTTATGTTTAGGTATTGAGTAGTGTTAAATTAGCTCAAAAGGGAAATGTATATAAATAATTAGTTAATTATGATTAATTACAATTATTTATATCAGCTGCCAGTAGTAACTGTAGCAGAATTAAATTGCCATCAACCAATCTGTTCGTGCAGCGAACATTCAGTGTAAATTCATATCAACTCTAGGAAAGGATATTTCCGTGGCCACAGAAAATACTTTCATACAGTATTATTGCATTAGAGCATGTAGTAAGGATCAAAATCGTAAAGGGACAATGCCGTTTTACAACAGGGTCTACAGCTTATACTAAACCTCTGTTTCGTTTAGTTAAATGTACGATACTTAGAATTGCCTTGGCCTGGAACGAGCGTACGGAGGCAGTCTCGGATGAAAGTCTTGATGGTTTGGAGGTTCGGTGGTGTAGGAGTCACGATCACCTTCTTCCGGGTTTGAAGAGTGATGAACTCCAAAGATGTTCTGACTAGATGGTGATTGGGAGTTTCTTCCCAGTGGAAAGTGAAAAAGAGCTAAGAGAGACATCAGCTGAGATCCTAGGATCTTTGGTGAATGGAAAGTCAAGGCCCGAGGCCTGGCGCACCGAGGCCTGGCGCAGACTTAGGGTGTCCTTAGACGGTTGCTAGCTCACATACTCATCTTCTCAGAATCTAACAGAACCGCAGACTGACTGGCTATGTGTTGGAGCCCACCGGGCACGCCCGCACCGGCTCCGGCTCTCCACACGGGCCACAATCAGAAGATTTTAGCAGAAGACTTAGCAGATGAAATGGCTGTTTTTGGTGTACCAGAGCAAGGTGTGGTCATGTCCAAAAAATGTCAAGATGCTTGTGCTTTTGCATGTCTTTTGGCTCGGAGAAGAAAATTATTTGATTGGAAATCAAGTAAACCACCTTTAAATTCACTCTGGCTTAGTGATGTGATGCCGTTTTTGAAATTGGAGAAAATTAAATATTCTCTTAGAGGATCCATCAAACGTTTTTATTTCAAGTTCAAGTTCAAGTTCAAGTTCAAGTTCAAGTTGAGCTTTCTTGTCATTCTGCTGCATGTGGGGACGTACAGTGGAACGAAATGTCGTGCCTCACAGGACCACGTTGTTACATAAATACAGGCATACAACAATGAAGTAAAACAGTAAAAACCTATACAGTAAAGCAGTAAAAACCTATACACAACTAACCTACTGACTGATTTTGGTTATAAATATACTATATATATATATACCATAACTCTTCCCCCAAACTAAAATTAATAGATTAACTAAAAGGCCTGTGCATATTGGAGCAGATAACGTAATCAGACACGATGGGCTAACAATGATGTTAATTATTTCCTTACTGTTAGTAATATTAGAATTCTGACATTGTAATTTTCAATGTTATTTATTTATTTAATTTTTTTGTTTGTGTGTGTGTGTTCTGGGGTGTGGGATGTGGAAAAGAAAAAAAAAGTAAAATCAAGAGGGGCATTGTTAACTCTTTGTGTAATTGTTGTTCTCCCTTCTCCCTTCAAAAAAAAAAAAAAAAAAAAAACTTTTAA